TTTCATCGCACTGACGAGTGACATTTTTATTACTGGTTCTCATAAGAAAGGTAATGTTATAGGATCTCTCTCTGCCATGATTTAGGAAAAATAAAACTGATGTGAATGAAAATTGCTCCTGTGTGTGTGTGTGTGTGTGTACAGGAGGCCAAATGTCAGTATGTGTGTGTGTATGCATGCCCATATACATGTGTGTTACAGTCACCCTTAGTTTTCCCTTGGAATAATAGTTGCAGAGAGAACCGCAAACCATAAACACTTTAACAAGCCTTCTTGCACTTCCTAAGCCAATTCCCAGCTTTATTAATCCAATTTGCCCCATTACACAACTCACAAGTGGCGACCGAGTGTTATAGGGCAACAGAAGCCAGAGCCATAATGAGCATGAGAAGCATCTCTTAGAAATGAGTGCCTTTGAGATTAATTAACGAAAGTTTTCTTCTCAATGATTTCCTTGGAGGAATCTTATAGGTTGATGTAAGTGGTAAGAAAAGTTATGTAGCCCTGGTCGGTGTGGCTCAGTGAGTTGGAGCATCATCCCATACACATGGTCAGGGCATATACCTGGGTTGTGGGTTCGATCCCCAGTGAGGGTGGATGTGTCAAGCAACTAATCGATGTTTCTCTCTCTCTCCCTCTCTCTCTCTCTCTCTCTCAAAACAATTTTTTTAAAGTTATGTAAATGCATGTCTTATCTGAAGCTTTCTAATGTCTACTTTGAGAAGCAAGGTGTTCATAGGAAAGTACATAGAAAGTGCAGGCTATTACCAGTAGCACAGACCATGCATTGCATATGAGAGGCGTCAGAGCAGACCTTGGGTGTGGCAGTGTGTTAGCGAGAACACATAGAACCATCGTAGCACCACCAACCGGTGTCTTAAACAACAGGCATCTATTTTCTCACAGTTCTGGAAGCCATAAGGCTGAGGTCAAGGTGTCAAAAAGGTTGGTGTGTGCTAAAGGGACAAGGGAAGGACCTGTTTCATCTTCTTGGCTTGTACGTGGCCACCTCTTGCTGCCTCCTCATATAGCCATTCCCCTGCAGGCATATCTCTGGCATCACTCTGTGTGCCCCGATTTCCTCCGCTTTAAGGACACCCGTCACATCACCCCAAGAGCCTCTGGTAATGTAGTCGCCTCCATCAAGACCCAATTTCCAAACAGTCACATTCTGAGCCCCTGGGGGTGAGGGTTTAACATATAAATTTTGGGGATGCTGTTCAGCCCATAACAGAGAAGAAGACACATTCAGGACTAAATACTAGCGAGAGCACGCACGACATCTATGATTTTGAGCAAGTTATCCAAGCTCTCAATCACATTTTTCTAAACTGCGAAATAAGGAAACGATAGTAAGCCTTTATCTCATAGGGTTATCATGACAATCAAATGAGGTAGGAATGCAAAGGACTTAGCACGGTGATTAACACGTGGCAAATGCTCTGTAAAATCTCAGCAAATCACATAATTTTAGATTTTTTTACCATTTCCTGATGGTAGTGTTAGTGTGTCCTTTTTCACCTACCATTATCTATACTAATACTAGGTATATTAGTTAATAATGTGGATTTTTTTTCAATAGATGGAGTTACACATATGTTGACATATATGCGATTTGATATGTATGCTATTTTGTTGTGTTGACAACAAGCTTCAAAACTTCATATGTCAAATTTTCTGAAGGTGTTAACATCATAGATATTTTTATGCTTAAAAATGTTGAATTTCATGCCAAAAAAAGAGCATTTGTGGGAAATGTTAATTCCTTACTTTATTTTGAAGAAAAGTACTGCTGAAAGTTTTCGGATACCTCGGGAAGCTTATGGTGAACACGCTCCATCTCAAGATACTTGTGAATGCTGGTTTAAATGCTTTAAAAGTGATGATTTCAATGTGAAAGACAAAGAACGTCCAGGTCAACGGAAAAAGTTTGAGGGCCAACAATGACAAGCATTATGGGGTGAAGATGCATGTCAAACTCAAAAACAACTTGCAGAAAGATTAAACGTTGCTCAGCAAACAATTCCCGATCATTTACAAGCAATGGGAAGATTTTAAAGGAAGGAACATGGGTGCCACATCAACTGAACGAAAGACAAATGGAAAACCGAAAAATCAGTAAAATGTTGCTTCAATGGCACAAAAGGAAGTCTTTTTTTTTGCATCGAATTATGATTAGTGATAAAAAGGGGATTTATTTTGAGAATCCCAAACGCACAAAATCATGGGTTGATCCAGGTCAACCATCAATATCGACTGCAAGGCCAAATCGCTTCGGAAAGAAGACACTGCTCTGTGTTTGGTGGGATCAGGAAGGTGTGGTGTATTATGAGCTTCTAAAACCAGGTGAAACCGTCACTGATTGATCCTGAAAATAAATAATCAATTTGAACCCCACTTTGATCATAAAATGGCCAGAATGGGCCAGAAGACATGACAAAATAATTTTGCTTCATGATGATGCACCATCACACACTTCAAAACCAGTTAAAGACACATTAAAAGATCTTGCCTGGGAAGTATTAACCCACGCGCCGTATTCACCAGGCCTTGCTCCTTCAGATGACCACTTGTTCAGATCGATGACACATGCGCTTTCTGAGCAGCACTTCAAAACGTACAAAGAAGTGGAAAACTGGGCCTCTGAATGGTCTGCCTCAAAACAAGGAGAGTTCTATTGGGACGGTATCCACAAATTACCTGAAAGATGGGGGAATGTGTAGCTAGCAACGGACATGACTTTGAATAAAGCACTTTTGATGTTTCTCTTGAAATTATCATGTTTTCTTTGATTACAAAATCCGCATTTTTAACCGGTTAATAGTTAATCCGCATACCAGTTAAAAATGCTGCAGTGAACATAGGGGTGCATATAACTTTGTGAATAAATGTTTTCAGATGGATACTCAGAAGAGGGGTTGCTGAGTCATTCTCTTAGCTTTGAATAATTATTTTCTGGGGAAAGGCCAAGTCCATATTCTTGAACAAAAAATTGCAAACCAAGCAACTAAAAACATTAATGCTGACCAGTGTGTCCATTCATTTCAATTAATTTGATTTAGAACAAATCAGCCGTGTGCCAGGGAGCGCAAGGAATAAACAGAAATGGCGTCTACAGTGATCACTCCTTTGAAAACTCCCATTCACACTCCCTCAATGCTGTGTGGGGGGCCTTTATCTCAGCTACACTTTCTGTGTCCAGGCTACAGGTTTCCACCTGAGATGCCCACATCATAGTTTCTCTCTCTGGGGGCTGTAGGTCAAACAAAATGCAGAGATGACATTCAGAACAGGCTTTGGTTATATAACAAACACGGAGGGGCAGAAAGACAGGGATCAGAGACTACAAGGGTATGTTGCAGAAGGCGTTGGAGTGAACAGAGAAGCCTTTTAAGGAACCTAGACTCCGCCCAGGGTCAGGTATCCTATGCAGATGCACTCCGAGACCAGGTTTGAATCCAGTGTCTCAGGTAATGCTGCAGCTCTAGACCACTCTGCTCAGAACATACTCTGAATCTCGGCTTCAATATGTTTGCACGTCTCTATCACCTCCCAACCCCAGGCTTGGGCCTTGAGCCCCTGTCTATGTTAAGGCCTGTGGATTAAACATGCTGCTGGATGATCTACCTGGTTTGGGATTATGCCCATTGATTTTTCTCCCCCAAATTTTATTGATATTGTCCCTTTATGTCCACAACACAGAAAAGTTTCCTTCACCATTAAACCCCACTGAGGCGTCCAAACCTAAGGAAGGCTACGCCTGACAATTGGGGCTCATACTTAGGCGGAAAGGGAGCTCAGACACTATCTGAAGACAGGAATGCTCCCCACATCTCTCAGAAACCCCCAAATGAGCAGAGAACTCAATGTGTTTAAGGAGACAGAGATAGAGTCATTTTGTGCAAGGCATGTCTCCAATTCAGGGACACACTGCCACGCGGAAGGAAGAAGTCTGAAAACAGGTCCAATTAATTTCAAAAATACATTTTTATTGATTTCAGAGAGGAAGGGAGAGGAGATTAAAATAGAAACATCGATGATGAGAGAGATTCATTAATTGGTTGCCCCTGCACGCCCCCTACTGGGGTTCAGCCCATAACCCAGGCATGTGCCCTTGACCAGAATTGAAAACGGGACCCTTCAGTACACAGGCTGACACTCTGTCCACTGAGCCAAACTGACGAGAGCCAGGTCAACTTAATTTTATTTTTCTTACAAGAATGTTCACTCACGGATGGCACATAGTAGAGATACTCACTCAAGGAATTATGTCGCATTCCCACCAACCCAACAAACAAAAGATTGAGATGCTTCTCCCTATAAAACATTACTCTGAGTAAAAGCCATTCTTCATGGGGTATGTGTGTGGTGGGGGGGAAGACAGAATAAACAAAAGCCTTTAACCCTCAACACCTCTTTTGTGAGGTCCCTCCACAGTCCCAGAAAAATACGCTCCATATTTCCTGCCATATTTCACATCTTTGTCATGGGATGTCAGCTGCACATTTGTGTCTCTTCTCAGGCGGGCTGTTACTCACTCTGCTAGGATGACCTCTTCTTCATCTTTGCATTCCCCACCCATCGCACAAGGTTTTTCACCAAATGACCTCTGTCTGAGTGAAAATGAAAAGGAATTGGATCACATCTCTGGACCACCTGAGCAGCTCCCACCAGGAAATTGAGGAATGGGAGGAGATCTTCAGGTGGACTTGGGCTCCAGCAGGGACCCACGGCATGTGAAATAACTGGAGATGCATGGCCACCTCTTTCTTCAAGCTCTTGTTTCCTGAGAAACAAGGAGAATCGGGCTGAGAAGGCCTGGAGGCATGTAGGCCAAGGGGCAGGAGGGAGTCTGCCTCCCCTGCAGGAGCACGTGCTGGCTCACCACACTGGCTGGAGGCACAGACACAGCAGTGCTGGGAGGCCTGGCAGGTTCCTGGGCTGCTCGCTGATGCTGAGAAGGACAGACAAACTGGTCTCCACCCTGTCCTTTCCTTTCCCATCATCGTCTTCTCAGATTCCTTCCCTCTCAACTTCACTATTAGGATAACTTGCAATAGTTTATTCCGCATGCCTCAAGTGTGCTAGGATTCTCCATGAATTCCACTCATAAACACAACAGCGCACTGCATTGGAACAGCCATTATTGTTCTTCTTAGCGTGTTTCAGCCAAAAGAAAGGAGAGAGAGAGAGAGAGAGAAGTGAAAGGGGAACAATGTCACACCTTTTCACTGAAACTGAAACCAAAGACACAAACAATGAGAGCTTGAACCCAGAATGGCTCCCTGGTTGTACTGAGAAACGCAAAGCCAAGTCCAGATTTTCTAATGTGGCATCAGATCACAGTCACCATCCCACATATTGCCCCGCCTGCCCTTCCCACATTCTCACTGCCAGGCTGCACCTCTACATGTAAGTAAACATGATACAACCAGGGCCTGCTTCCAGGTCAAAACCCAACACATAGAGTTTCTGGGTGACAGCAGGCCACCAGTACCTTTGCTTCACTCAGAAGAAACTTGTCTCAGGTCCCTGCTACAAGTCCTTCTCTTTACACAACTCCATTTTTTCACAACAATGTGTAGACCAATAAAATGAGGGTTTATTCAGTTCAGGCATTTGAGGAGACAAAAATGCAGCCAAGATAGAGTGTCAGGGTGAGGAGGACAAAAGGGTGCAGGTGGACAAAGAAAATAAAGATTGAGAAGCAGAAGGTGCAGGTTATGCTGCCAGCTGTGGCAGGCTCCCTTCCACCCCATCAGCAATATGATGTCCTCGAGAAAGCACAGGCCACAGGCTCAGAAAACCAGCCACGAGGTAGAAGTCATTCTGCCAGCATTCCTGACACATGCTTCACGTTCAACCCACTTGAACTCTTTGAATCCTAGTCCCCATATTGTACAATGACGGCAAATCCTAATATCTGGACTCTCCCATTTAAAAAGATATTTATGAGATGCATATAAAAATAGTTTGTAAGTTGCAAGTGCACTTCAATTGTTGGCTACTGTTCATTCACTACAAGGGCTCAGGAAGAAAGCCCAGTTGATGCAGGACTTTCCTCAGAGATGATTTTACCTCCTTGTTCCTGAGGCTGTAGATCAAGGGGTTCAGCATGGGGGTGACCAGGTTATTCAGGACCTGAACCATTGCATCCAGCCAGGGGCTTGGCGTTGGCCTTAAGTAGATGAGGACCACAGGCATGTAGAAAAGTAAGATGGCAGTGAGGTGGGCGCTGCAGGTGGAGAAGGCATGGCGTTGGCCCTCGGCGGAGCGGATCTGCAGGATGGAGTAGACGATGCGGCTGTAGGAGGCAAGGATGAGAAGAAAGCAGCTGAGGGGCATGAGGCCCACACTGATGAACCCCACCATCTCCAGGGCTGCGGTGTCCGCACAAGCCAGCTTCAGCATCACGGGGATGTCACAGAAGAAGTAGTCCACCTCATTGGGGCCACAGTAGGGTAACTGGAAGGTGAGAGTGGTGAGAAAGGTGGCCTGAACACAGCCAAAAAACGAGGTCCCCGAGGCCAGGATGGCACACACCCTGGGGCTCATGATCACCTGGTAGCGTAGAGGGTGACAGATGGCCACAAAGCGGTCATAGGCCATCACCGTGTACAGGAAGCACTCGGTGCAGCCCAGGAAGTGGTAAAAGAAGAGCTGGGACACGCAGCCGGCATAGGAGATGGCTCGGCTGTACCCTGAGAGGTAGACGAGCATCTTGGGGGAGCTCACAGAAGGGAAGAAGATGTCACACACAGACAGCTCACACAGGAAGAAGTACATGGGGGTGTGCAGTCGGGCGGAGGAGGCGATGGCCAGCAGGATGAGCAGGTTGCCCACAAGAGTGAAGACGTAGAAGGTCAAAAACAGGGCAAGGAGCATGCC